CAGTGTTATTTTAATATCATTAACATACTGTTATACACAGAAGCAAAAACGGTAATCCAGGTAAAAGGGTTCAGAAGTACCACGAAGACCAAAAAACGGACTGATCTCTGACTACACACATCCCCTGTTCCAATTAACCAGTCCAAAACAAAGAAACCAACAAAAGCAGAGCAAGACAGTGTTCTGAGCAACAAGCTGCAACCGGGACTGAAAAAGGGCTTGTTAGCGAGACAAACCAAGTTGAGTCCCGAGTGAATTGTGCTCTGTGGAGAGGTCAACCAACACAGAGAGGCGACTAAATGACTCTATGAAGGATGAAGGTGTTGCTGTAAACATCAGGCTTTCTGGAGACCACACATGCTTTCTAAATAAAGTCCCTCCTGGCACTTTCCACAAATAGGGTAAAAAATGAAGTCCCATGACATTCTTAAAGTACTAAAGGCACAAATCCGGTGTTCTTTAGAGAGATATCTAGTGGATATGTTATCTAACTGTTATCTAACATTAAATTAATATAGCATTATATGGATATCCAACTTTACTGGCTTACATATACACACATAAAGCTACTATTAAAAAAAAATCTAAATTTGATGATTGTTTATAACGAACTGCATTTCTGAATTTCTGTTAAAATTGTGTATTGTAAAAAAACAACAACTATACATATCAAACTGACCAGACTTTCACTAATTATACTCAACAATTAGTCATTATTTTGACATAATTTGTTGAATATACATTAAATTATTTTGTTTCACAAAATAGAAATATTACCCAACACTAAATGTATTGTTCTACCTTATAAAATATTTATTATTATTATTATTATTATTATTATTATTATTAAACCAATCAGAATTAGACATATTTAACCGTATCCAACATTTGCATGCAACAGCTACCGCTCTGGAATATTCCATAAAATTGTGACACTCAAGAAGTAACATTATAATATTAAGTAAATAATCTTTCCATTTTCAGATTGTAGTGTTGAAACTATTAAAACCCATTTTTGTTAATTAAAATAAAGCAGAAAAATAATAAAATATAAACATTAGAGGAAAAACTTAAACTTAAAACATTAGTAATGACAACTAACATTAATGAATAAGTTGAAGTTGGAGTACTAAATTTACTTTTTAAAAAAATAAATAAATAAATCAAAGCTAAATAGAATAATTACAAATGTAATAATAATGACAAAAGCACATAACATTATAATGATACATTTTAAATAAAATTCAAATCAACTGAAAATATTAAAAATAATACTTTATTATTAAAAAATAATATAATACTATATTAATAATACTAAAATACCACTGACGCTGTTACCAAAGTTATTGTAAAAAAAATTAAAAAATAAACAACCATTTGTCTTTAATTGATGAAAAATATAAGATTATCAATAACTACAAACCAATAGCAACCCTGTGATTCATTCTGTCTTTCTTGATGTTTAAGTGCATGCTTTCACTCCACTATTGCTGAAAAATACCCTATTCATGGAAAGTGTGTCCTGCTCTTCTGCAGTGAGCATTACACGAGAGATCCATAAGAAGCAAACAGCTGTATGTGTAATGTGATACAGGGTCATGAAACCCCTTATTTCAGAGAGGGTTGTTCCGTCTCAGTATTGAAAAGCCTGAAGAAATGGAAGTGGAAAGGTGGGATGTAGAGAGAGTAACAACCCTCTGTAGTCCACTTTAGAATGTCAGCATCTTCATGGCAGGCTATGTTCATGGCAAAAACAATTCAAAAAATACAAGTATAACAAATACAATAAAAACCAGCAAACAAACGAACACAAGTTATATTACACAAGATTTTTTTACATTAACATATATGTTAAAAATAAGAAAAAAACTTTTTCTTTATATGGTTCAAAGACGAAAAGTGGTTTTCAAGCATAAAAACAATAAAAGTTTGATGCATCATTACTTTTTTCTTTAAATTGCAATGTGTCCGGTTTAATTTTAAAAAAGAATTTCTGAGCAAAAATAATGAGTAACATACATTTTAACAATGATTTACAGAAGACCCATTCAGTGCAACAACAGTACAGTACATATACCAAAAAAAAAAAATCTTGTCAGGCATATTTAGAACAAGAATTATTAGATGACATTAAAAGAGCCCAAATACAAATTAATTGTACTTTTAAATCTTTACCAACCAGCAGAAATAAATGACTGATTGATCTCCGGACGACTGTAATTTGGGTTAGTTGGCCATGTCACACCGCTTTACAGCTGAGAGGCCTGCAGTGATATGACAGAAGATAGTCGGATAGAGCAGGACTGCCATCTGCTGGACACTTGAGTCAGGACACAACTCATGGAATGCAGGTCATACCAGATGCATGCTGGAAAACTTGAGCAGGAAGGCCTGAAACTTGTTTACAGGATTTGTTTACTCTTAGCAGATGCAGAACTATGGATTCTGCCTTTTTGTCATGATATGCTGTACTGATATGCCTGTACAAATATCACTGAGAACCTCTAACATCTCACACACGAATCAATGATTCTGATCGACATATGGATCGACCTACAGCACGAGTTAATAAACACAATAGAAGCCATCAACAAACGGTCGAGTCATTTCTGTCTATAGCATCCTCATCCAAATACTCCCAGTTCACTGAGAGATGTCAGTCAATAACAAACATCAGTGTTTTCTTCCTGCACAAATTCTTTCAAAAAAGTCACAAAGCTGTTGTGACAACTTTTATTAAATTATTGAATTCAATTGAATTCAATTGAATTCAATTCAAAATATTTAATTAAATAAAGAATTAGTTACACGCAGCAGTGTCCCAGTGTTTTGCATGCAACACAGTTTTTTGTTTTTCACCTTATTTAATTTGAATTTAAGATACATTCCATTAATCTGTAGCATAAAATCTAATATCAAATTAAATATTACATTTAAAAAAATCTTAAAATAACTGTTATTATTACTATTAAATGTTTATTATTATTGTTGTTGTTGTCGTTAAATATTTATCAGAAATCATTAGAATTAGTTATTTAAATTTATATTATCATATATGCATATTATTAAATATTTATACATATTTAGCAGTGTCCCACATTTTGCATGCAACACTATTGGTTTTCGCTCTATTTAAAATAACGCCATTAACATAAATGGTTTAATATACATTTAATTATTTTGCAGCAAAAAAATAAATATCAATTTAAATTTTAGAAAATAATAATAATAATAATAATAATAATTTTTAATACAATTAATTTGAACAAAGTCTGCTAAACATCTGAATTAAATCCTAAATCTTAATCCCCAGGGGGCAATTCATTTCGGATTTGGACATCCAGAATAAAACAGACTGAGGCATAGGTTATATTAAGCTATTTTGCATAAAATTGGGGATACATAAAAATAAAAGTACAAAAAGTATACAATGAAATACAGCCTACATATTTATATGGTTCAAGTAGTAGTAGTATATTTTTATTTAATGCCATGTCAGCATCTTCATGGCAGGCTATGTTCATGGCAAAAACAATTCAAAAAATACAAGTATAACAAATACAATAAAAACCAGCAAACAAACGAACACAAGTTATATTACACAAGATTTTTTTACATTAACATATATGTTAAAAATAAGAAAAAAACTTTTTCTTTATATGGTTCAAAGACGAAAAGTGGTTTTCAAGCATAAAAACAATAAAAGTTTGATGCATCATTACTTTTTTCTTTAAATTGCAATGTGTCCTGTTTTATTTTTTTTCTGAGCAAAAAATAATGACTTACATACATTTTAACAATGATTTACAGAAGACCCATTCAGTGCAACAACAGTACAGTACATATACCAAAAAAATCTTGTCAGGCATATTTAGAACAAGAATCATTAGATGACATTAAAAGAGCCCAAATACAAATGAATTGTACTTTTAAATCTTTACCCATCTTTGCCACTATCCTACAAACCACTAGGTTTTACCCATTTGTCTGCAAGAAGTTTTTAATCATTTCAAATCAAATTAAATTTACTGTAATCATGTTTTCTTTTATATATTTTAATATTTTATGTACAGGTCAGAATAAGAATGTTGCTTCATTTTTACATAAATATATCTGTTACGCAGAATGACAACGGAACATTATTTCAAGCATATTTTGACATTTTACTTTCACAAAACATATTTGAAACATTAAAGTAGACATGTTACTTGCACTTATGCATATATGCTTTCTTTATATATAAAATCACTTTAAATTAAATTTAATATGATGCAGACAGCAAAATGGGCAAAGCATACTGCACAAATGTACAAAATATTATATATAATTATACTATAAAAATAAAAAAAAAATATATATATATATAAGCTACAAAATAATTATCTAAAAAATCAGAAAATGATGAATAATTAAATTATTTTACATGTCAATTAAATTTTAGAAAATAATAATAATAATAATAATAATAATAAAAATTTTTAATACAATTAATTTGAACAAAGTCTGCATGCAACACTGTTTTTTTTTTTTAAATAACGCCATTATTTTGACAAATTGTTGAATATACATTTAATTATTTTGCAGTATAAAAATAAATATCAAATTAAATATTAGAAAATATTATTACATATTAATAATAATTTTAAATATTTATTTCAATTAATTTGAACAAATTTTACATGCAACACTGTGGTTGTTTAAAATAATGCCATTATTTTGACATAAATTGTCAAAATTTGACATAAATTAATTTGTAGCAAATACTGTATCAATATATTTATCAAAAACAAATATAAAATTAAACATTATAATATAGTATTATAATAAGTAGTAGTATTATTATAAATATGATTAAATATTTAAATTAATTAGAATTTGTAATATAATAGCATATGTTGACAATAAAATAGGCAAAAACATCCCATAGATTCATACTGAAGGGGGAACCACAGGCAAAAACAAACTAGGTTAAGAAAGGATTTGATTTGTGTGTAATTCACCTTAATTCTGGGCATGGTGACGGTGGGCGGTCTGGCTTTGGCGATGAAGCTGTGAGAAGAGCCTCTCTCCACCACATGTCTTGTGTAGGGCATGAACCTCCGGCCATCAGAGCCGAACACAAAGTCCTCTCTGAGAGCATCGATCAGGACGATCACCACCCGCTTGAACAACGGCACGGGAGCCTTGCTGGAGTTAGGACCACTTCCTGCAGAACACATAACAACTCATGAAATCTCTGCTGCATGCGCGATCACAATGTATGTTATGAATTCTGATTTCAGCATTAGAATTAGAAACGTTGAAAAAAAGGGGATTTAGTAGTGAGGCTGAAATTAAAACACCCTAAACATCTGAATTAAATCCTAAATCTTAATCCCCAGGGGGCAATTCATTTCGGATTTGGACATCCAGAATAAAACAGACTGAGGCATAGGTTATATTAAGCTATTTTGCATAAAATTGGGGATACATAAAAATAAAAGTACAAAAAGTATACAATGAAATACAGCCTACATATTTATATGGTTCAAGTAGTAGTAGTATATTTTTATTTAATGCCACGTCAGCATCTTCATGGCAGGCTATGTTCATGGCAAAAACAATTCAAAAAATACAAGTATAACAAATACAATAAAAACCAGCAAACAAACGAACACAAGTTATATTACACAAGATAAAAAAAAAAAATATATATATATATATATAAGCTACAAAATAATTATCTAAAAAATCAGAAAATGATGAATAATTAAATTATTTTACATGTCAATTAAATAAATTAATAACAAATCAGTATCAATAAAAATAATCTTTAGATAATTTAGCTTTAATACCTCACTATAAAATCATCACCATCAACATAATGCTTAATAATTCTGCGTGTGTGTTTGTATGTGTGTTTACCTGTCTGTGGCTCTGCAGGAAAATCAGTCTCTTTGCTCTTGTCTGAAAAGGATGATTTGACAGGAACAGGGAAGAATCCTCTCAGGAAAAGAGCGATTGACACAATCTCACATATGAGACACAATAAAGCAAATACTGATGAACTCAGCTTCATGATGAAGATCAATAACTGTCATCAATAACACTCATAAGACAACACAAACACTGGCAACTGTCCAGCCTGCTTTCTGATTTCTCATTCAACCGTCATTTTGAACAGACACGACACTAAATCCACACGATTAATGAAGATTCTGCCGGATTAGTGTTTTGAAATTCTCATTTCCGTGTTGTGCCATGAGGGTCACTACGGCAACTCAGAAGGATCGTTTCTCAAAACGTTTTTCAACGTTTCTCCGACTCTTATTTTGTAATCAGAGCCAAAACTCTATGACAAATAATTTTATTTACGTTTACATAGTATTTAAACGTACTATGTACAGTTCTGAAATATCTAAAATTGTATTATAATTTATACAATAAATAACTATATAAAATAAAACGTATCTTATAAAATGAAAGTAAGAAGTTGTATATAGACTGTTATTTTTTCACAAATTAGGCGACGGGGAGAAAAAATAGGTTTTATTCTCGAAACTTCTATTATTTCATATTTATATAATTTATTGTTATATTATTATGTAATTTAAATAACTGTGGAATGAAAAGTAAAAGTGTGAGGTCATCAGTGGTTGTCATGGTAACATTTGTTGTAATGGCGCTTTATTTGTTTTTCGACATTGTCAAAAACCCGTTTTATTTGTAATAATTTATAGACAGAGAATTTATAGACAGAGAAAACCACAATCCATCGGAATATGTCATTTATTAAAGTGCTGCTGACTGTAAAAGTGAATTGTGTTTGTAACTAAGCAGTGATTTAGTGATTCTGTTTGTCGAGGGAAATGGACTGCCGTGAACTGAACTCCACGGAGAAAACCAGAACCTCAAAGCTTCTCAATGAAATAAACGAGATTTATCAAGATATTAGAGAAGAGTCAATGCAATCAGGTGATCAGAGATGTACATTCCATAACAGCAGAAACATGTCATTGCATTTCTTTTTTATATATCATATGTATGCATGTATATATATATATGTGTGTGACCCTGGACCACAAAACCAGTCTTAAATCGCTGGGGAATATTTGTAGCAATAGCCAAAAATACATTGTATGGGTCAAAATGATAGATTTTTCTTTTATGCCAAAAATCATTAGGATATTAAGTAAAGATCATGTTCCATGAAGATATTTTGTAAATTTCCTACCATAAATATATCAAAACTTAATTTTTGATTAGTAATATGCATTGCTAAGAACTTCATTTGGACAACTTTAAAGATGATTTTCTCAATATTTAGATTTTTTTTGCACCCTCAGATTCCAGATTTTCAAATAGTTGTATCTCGGCCAAATATTGTCCTATCCTAACATACATCATACAGAATTACTGATGTAATCATACATCAATGGAAAGTTTATTTATTCAGCTTTCAGATGAAGT